TATTTTGCGTCCAGAATCACCCTGTAGGGGGACAGGCCCGACCTAACCCTACCCCCAGACCCCCCTCTGCGCGTGGCCGCGCATGCGCTGTCGCGGGGGCGCACGCTCGGGACGCGCCGCGGGGCGGCGCCGCGGGCGGCGTTGGCGGGCCCGTGCGGGGCTCGGGAAGCCCGCGGCCCCGCCAGGCCTCGGGTCGGGGGGGCCGGAGGGGGCCTGGCAGCACAGAGCGGGCCCTCGCTCGGACGCTCGTTCCCCATGCGTTTTTTTTCTGTTTTGGGCCCAGAGGCAGGCTGGCCCAAGCAGGGGTGAAGATCGAGTCCACTGTGCGTCCGAGGTGTGGCCGTGAGCCCGAGACTGACCCTCACCGCTGCTGGACCCGCTCTGAGAATGCCAAGACTAACCGCTGCCAGGCCACTCAGCACCTAGTTGACCAGGCCGTGGCAGGTGCCGTGGAGCACCACTGCAATTGGCTGAGAGGTATTACCCCAAAGACATGAATTTCCATCCCTGAGCCCCCCGACGACCTTGTTGTCAGGTTGGACCCGTCGTTGTCTGTTTCTCCCCTGTTGCCCACTGGAGGTTCCCTCCACGCACTCATGCGTGGCTTGCGTGATGAAGGGCGGATTTGGCTGGCGGGGGACGGCTCAGGCGGCCCTTTTTCAGGGCACCCTTTGCTCCGCAGAACCTCGTGGGCTGTGGTTTCAGTCAACTGGGTAGCCGACCCGAGGGACATGAACGAATTGCAGAAGTCTGGAGGATTCGGGGGTGCCGTCCCAGGACCCTGGCAGAGCAGCAACCGTTCCGAGTTGTTGCGTTTCTTGAAGCTGTCCGAGCTAAGCAAGGCAGGAGTCTCACTTACCTCACCAGCAGTACGTATGTCCAGAAGGGTTGTTTCAGGCTCAGGGCCAAAGCTTGCTGGAAGCCTAAGGGTAATCGCGACCTCTGGAACCTGGTGAGGGAGCTTGTTTTGGACAGAGACATCGAAGTTGTGAAAATCGAGAGCCACGCCAAGGAATCTGATTATGTGCGAGCCTCGCCTGAGGTGAGGTCCCTTTTCGCACTGAACACGTTTGCCGACCAATTGGGAGAAAAGATGTCTCCTGATGCCCAAGTCCCCACAGGAGTTGCTGAAACCTTGTGTGAGGTCGAGGTGGAGTCGAAAGACATCCGGCGCCGCCTTGTCGCCATTTTGGCAGAGATGCTTGCTTCTCGGTCTGTTTCGGAGTTGTGTTAGACCCTGGGGACCGCTGGGCCCAAACTGGACTTGAAGCAGGCTATGGTTGACGCGCTCCACTCCCTTGGGCCCGACGGCGACCGCCATCGCTGGCACTGCCGATCCTGCGGGTCAGAACCCCAGAGGAGGTCCGAGGGGGCGTTCGTGAGCTGGCTTCGAGAGCCCTGCAGTGCCCCAGCTGTCGAAGACCCCTCCTGTCAGGCCCCTGCCTTTGTGGCTCCTACCCGCCACGGCCTGACTGCGCACGCCTCACATGCTATGCGGTGGTGGGAGGTGGGGGTGGGCTCTCGAAAGGAACTGTGTTTTGCCTGCTCCACCTGCGGTGGCCTCGGCATGGACCAGTACAGGAGGGGCGGGGAGCTGGTGCAAGAGTGCCAGCCCCCCACTCGCACGGGGCTGGCTTATTTGAGGGCCCTCGAGAAAGGGCTCGCACCTGGCCACACGAAGCTGGCCAGGGAAGTGAACTCCCAGGCTTGACCCTGTGGAGCCGCGCGCAGCACATCGTCTTATCTAAGCCAATATCCTCCTCCTCCTCCTCCTCCTCCTCCTCCTCCTCCTCCTCCTCCTCCTCCTCCTCCTCCTGTTCCTCCTCCTCCTGTTTCCTCCTCCTCCTCCTCCTCCTCCTCCTCCTCCTCCTCCTCCTCCTCCTGCTCCTCCTCCTCCTGCTCCCTCTCCTCTTCTCTCCTCCGAGTGCCGAGGACGGGGCTGGAGGAGCAAGAAGCCATGATGATGGGACGGTCTGGAACTTTCGCTTGTGCGGCAGCGGCCCCAGCGACACCCTGTGCCCTGCGAGCCGACAGCGCGTCACTCCGCGTTGCGGGTCGGGAGGCCTCGAAAAGGAGGGGGGACGTCGACGCTAAGAGACGGGGGCGCGGTTGGCGTGTCGCGCCAGAGCGCCGTGGGCCAGCACGGGCGGAGCGACACTCTATGAGCAGAAGCCCCCCGTCGTCCCAAGATTCCCCCAGACCTCCCCGTGCTCCGCACGGGCTGCAGGGGGCGAGGGCCACGGGAGCCTCGGAGCTCCTGGCGCGCATCTCCTGAGCTGGTCGCCTCGTGGCAGCGCCCTCGCCCCAAACGCGGGGGCGCGCGGGGCCCCCCCGGGGCCCCCGAGTCCTGGCCGAGAGCAGCGCCTTTGTCCCGAGACGCCGACCGCGGCATCCTCAGGGCGGCGGAGATCGAGCAGCACCTGAGGAAAGGTATGTCCTCCTCGTTCTCCTCCTCCACCTCCATCTCGCCCTCCTCCACCTCTTCCTCCTCCACCTCCTCCTCCTCCTCCTCCTCCCTCCTCCTCCTCCTCCACCTCCTCACTCCACCTCCGAGGCGCCGACCTCACCATCCTCAGGGCGGGAAGGTATGTCCACGCAGCTCGACGAGGTGCCCAGGGCCGCAGGTGCGCTGGCAAAGGCTCCAGCGGAGACGCAGCTGCGCTCGCGATTAGTCGTCACGGGGCAGAAGGTGATCGTCTCCTTCTTGATGGCTTTGCCGATCGGCGCGGGCCCTCGCACTCCCCCCTCCCCCCCCCCACCATGGACTAGTTCTTGGCAGTTTGGGGGCGCCTGTTTCAAGAAGGTGGGGCCTCTCCCCCATAGGACGCACTGCTGCAAACAGTCGCATTAAGAGCAGAGGTCCGGAGCCAGACCCCCCCCATCCTCCCCAAGGTCGAAACGCCGAAGAAGAAAACGTTTCCAAGATGACAGACCTCGTCTGTCGGGGGGATTTGCGATCGCAATCGCAGAGCTGGCTGCCAGTAGCAGCTGCGCGACAGGTCAAAAGCGGGAGAGGCGTGGCACACCGCGAGCGCCGCCCAAGGTCAGGCAATCACCGGACGTCGACAGAGTGGCATGATATTTGTTCGCCTTACCTTTAAGTCGGGCGTGTCCCTATACAGGAGGAATATTCCAAGATAGTCAAAAATAGTCTGGGGACGATTTTTTGAACATTGTTTGACTATTTGGGGGTATGTGTTGAGTATTTTCATTTGTCCAAAATCCGCCTGTAGGGGGACATGCCCGACCTACCCCTACCTCTGCAAAAGACGTCGGCCCGCGCACGCCTCCCAGGACCCCTCCTAGCGCATCGACCGGAGCCTGATCATCATGACGTTTTGGGAGCGTTCGGCCTGTCTGAAGATGGACGGGACAAGCGCGGGGCAGGAAAGTGCGCTCTTTGTGAGCACTCTCCAATGTCTCGGGCTACGCGCCTCCCTCGGTAGCTCCTGCCGCTGATCCATGCCTGCGTATGCCGCTTGACGCATCTGGATGGTGCAATGCAGCGACCGCGAACGCCAGCGCTGCCCCGATGTGGTCCCAGCGGCGCGGCCGTTGCTTGAAGATTGCTCCTGGGGAGGGTGACTGCCACAGGATGTCGGGCGTTGCGGAACGGGCGGGGGCGACAACAAGGGGGGGGGGGGCAAGAGAGGTGCACCTCTTGTTCCCTGAAGGGGCCCTAAGAGGCACCCTGGGGCCCAAAAGGGGCACGAGAGGTGCACGTCTCTGCCCCCCCCCCCCCCCCCCCCCTTCATCGCCCTCCTATGAATCACCGCCCAAAGGATGGGGAAGAAGAGGGCGGAGGGGGAGCACGGCGACGAGGAGCTGGGGGGAGGCAGGGAAGGCGGACCCTTCGTCCACGGAAGGCGGGCGAGATGGCCTGCGTGCCCCAGGGCAACCCGAGAGGAGGGTAGGCTCGAGTGGCTGGCGCCATTCCGCCGGCCTCCGTAGGGGGCAGGCGGTGCGAGTGCGATGCGCTGCCTGCCCGCCGGCGGCCCGGGCAGGGCGGCGCCGCGCAGGATGACGACGACCAGCGGTGTACTCTCCCGGCGGGGCGAGGAGCAATGTTGGAGCAACTGGAGGGGGGGGGAGGTTAAGTCGGGCCTGTCCCCCTAAAGGGAGACCTTCGATGAAGAATACGAAATACAAAACAAATATTCAAGAAATACAAAAATAGTCTGGGGACTATGTTTGTTGTATGTTTTGACCATTTTGAGGTTTTGTTGGGGTATCTTTATTTTTCATCGAAAATCCCCCTGCAGGGGGACACGCCCGACTTAACCCTGGCCCTCTCTGGATGTCCTCTGGGCGTTCGGTCGGACAAGTCCTGGTCGCCTGCTAGCCAGGACGCACCACCAGAGTGCCCCGTTCCCCTGATCGGGGATCCAGTCTCGCTTTGGGCGCATTCTGGGCCATAGCTGGTCTAGCCCGTTTCAGGGTGTCCAGTGAGCGGGGTAAATGGTTACGGTCGGGAGCTTTTGCTTAGCATGTCGCGCCGCCGGTTCTGGCCCACCACGCTTCGGCGCGACACGCTAACCACGTCCCAGTCCCCGAGCGTCAACGTCCCGAGCTTTCTGTAGCTTCACGTCCTGCGGAGCGGAGCGACACGCTTCTCCGCTTGCAAGGCGTGTCGTGTCGCCGAGGCCGCCGCCGCGACACGCAGAGCAGAAGTTCCTGACCGTAATCCTCCTCAGCCTCCTTCTTTCGGCTCCTCCTCCCCCTTTCGCCACTTCCTCCTCCTTCCCCTCGCCTCTCTTATCATCCGCTCTTCATTTTCACTCACTCAGCTTACCAGAGCCACGGAGACAGCATACTTGACATGGGCCAAGACTGGCCGTCTACCAGCCAGGGCGCACAATTCAACTCATCGGACGATCGAATATCAAGCTAGTCTGCACTTAACTTGTCCAGCACCAAGGCGTGAAAGCGCTGGGTAGCAACATGGATGGTTTAGCAACCAAGGTGGTTTCATTGGAGATCTCCAGTGTCCACAGCGTTGACGGGCACCGAGCCGACATGTCTTGCATTATTAATTGTTGCTAGATTGCGCGCTATGTGAATGTTGGTCAGATCCGTTTGTTGCAACTTGGTCCGCCATGCGTGATCCGTTGCCTTGGTGCATGTGTGTGCGTATGTGCGCAAGCACGGCTTTCAAGCGTGAGTTTGTCTGGGATGCGGGAAAGCCACGGAGCATTTCAGAATATGTCATTCGGGCGTTTTGGGTAACACATTCGGGCTCAAGATCTATCTTTCTGTCGTCGCAGACCGTTGCCGCTCACTTCGCGCACCGAGACTGGCTTGGCCTGGCCCGCGAGATCATGGCCGCGATGCCCCCAGTGTGGAGCGAACTGTTTACACAGGCGACCAAGATGAAGGGCACCCACCTCAAGACCCTCATGCAGGACCAGGCCCGCAATGACTCCATGTTTGTGAAAGCAGTCGGCGGCATGGTTTTGGATTATTGCCGCGAGAAGGTCGACCAGGAAACCATGGGCAAGCTGTTCGCGCTGGCGGAGAAGACAGGCGTCGAAGAGAAGAAAAAGAAGATGTTCTCGGGAGTGAAGATCAACGAGACGGAGGGACGCCCAGCGCTCCACGTCGCGCTCCGTGCGCCGCGAGAGGCCAAGATCGAGGTCGATGGCGCCAACGTCGTGACAGATGTCTGGAAGGTGCTGGACGGCATCAAGGACTTCTCCGAAAAGGTCCGCTCAGGCGAGTGGAAGGGCTTTACTGGCAAGCCGCTGACGGACGTCTTGTGCATCGGGATCGGCGGGTCGTATTTGGGCGTGGAGTTCGTCTTCGAGGCCCTGAAGACAGACCCGGAGGCAGCAGCCGCCGCAACAGGCCGCCGCCTCCGCTTCCTGGCCAACGTCGACCCAATCGACGTCAAGCGCGCACTGGATGGGCTGAGTGCAGAGACCACGCTGGTGCTCGTCGTCTCCAAGACCTTCACGACGGCGGAGACCATGTTGAACGCCAAGACGGTGAAGGCGTGGCTCATCAAGGAGCTCGGAGACCCCGCCTGCGTCGCGAAGCACGTTGCGGCGTGCTCCACCGCGCTCGACAAGACTGCGGCGTTTGGCATCGACTCGAACAACGTGTTCGGCTTCTGGGACTGGGTCGGTGGGCGCTTCTCGTGCTGGAGCGCCGTGGGCGCGCTGCCGCTCTCGCTCCAGTACGGCTTCCCCGTGATGGAAAAGTTCCTGAAGGGCGCGCACGAGATGGACAACCACTTCTTCTCGGCGCCGGCCGCGGAGAACCTCCCGCTGATCATGGGCCTGCTGAGCGTCTGGAACTGCAGCGTCCTGGGCTACGAGGGCCTCGCGGTGCTCCCGTACTGCCAGGCGCTGGTGCGCTTCGTGCCCCACAGCTCGGGTGCTGCCAGAGGTGTCCCTGACCCGAGGCGCCCCCGGGATTCCCTCGGAGACCCCGCTGGCCTCCAGAGCCCCCTGCACGAGGCCCAGAGAGCTCCAGGGCTCCCAAGATGAGGCGAAGCGCTGGGGGCTCCTTGGGCCAGCGACACCTATAGCAGCCCCCGGACATCCAGCAGCTGGACATGGAGAGCAACGGCAAGCGCGTGACCATGAGCGGCGCCGAGGTGCCCGTGGGCACGGGTGCCATCTATTTCGGCGAGCCGGGCACGAACGGCCAGCACTCCTTCTACCAGCTTATGCATCAGGGTCGCGCCATCCCCGCTGAGTTCATCGGATTCTCCACCTCACAGAACCCAGTGTCGTTGCCCGGAGAGCCTGTGAGTAACCACGACGAGTTGATGTCTAACTTCTTCGCGCAGCCCGATGCGCTGGCTCTTGGCAAGACAGCCGAGGAGCTGAAGGCTGAGGGTGTACCAGATAACTTGATCGCGCACAAGACTTTCCCCGGCGACAGGCCGTCGTTGTCGCTGCTGTTGCCTCTGTGCAACGCAACCTGGCTGGGCAAGCTGCTCGCCCTGTACGAGCACAGAACGGCTGTGCAAGGCTCACGAGGGACAGATAAACACAGACGCCGATAAACGTCGATGTCCATGAAAATATTCGATTAGAGGACAGGGGATACCAAGGAAATATGGCAACTGTTGGGAATCCTGGAATTTGTCTATATTCATTTGTGTGCCCATGGTTGAAGCCGTCTTGGGGTTTGAGGTGGCCCAGCACTGGTTCCGGTCAGCAGTAAGGGTGGGCAGGTTCGAGGTTCTGGATTCGGACAGGTGTCTTGCCTTTTTCGGCTTCCAGGGGCCGTTTCGGGCCCAGGGGGCTGAAGGACGGATCTCCGGAGTGAAAACCTGCACCGGATGGATCCCTGGAGGGGTCTCGGGACCGATCTTGAACGGCTCTGCCTTCATCCCCCTGTCCTGGCCGTTTTTCCGGGGCATCGACCAGTTCAGACCCCCGGGCCGCCTCCCAGACCCTGGGCCCCTTGAAAGGCTGGTGCTGGGACATCAACTCTTTCGACCAGTGGGGCGTGCAGCTCGGCAAGGTGCTAGGCCTCAGAGATGGATTGGAGCAGATGGGATCGGAGACTCGCGCCGCATCGCCCGATGCATTGGCGATGCGGCTCGATGTTGAGCCCGATTTTCTCCACGCTGGCGTCGGCGATGCATCGGCGATGCGGCGCGAACCTCCGACCTACTCTACTCTGATCCCATCTAGGAGGCCTCTAAAGGTGCTGGCCACCGAGGTGCGGAACTACCTCAAGGACGCCAGGGGCGGGGCCGGCGATGATTCGAAGTTCATTGGTCCTACTAAGAACCTTCTCAAGAAGTACCTGGAGTAGGAGGAGGTGGCCCAGACGGGCACTGCGTCTACCGGCGTGTCCGAGGCTGGAGGCCTTCGTGCACGTCGCCCGCGCGCTGCCTTGTGAGAGGGGCCGATCAGAGGTTTTCATGCGGCACGTTTTGCTGCGGGCAGTAGGCGGTCAGGAGGAATCGCATGGAGGCGTCGATGGATTGACCGAGAAAAGGTGCCAGTATGGACGAGTGCACAGGTTTCTGAGGTATCTGAGGTCTCTGAGGACTCCTCCGTCTCGGAGGTCTCTTCCGTCTCTAACGTCTCCTCCATCTCC